TGTCCCAAAAATAAATAAACGTTGAAAAAAAAAATTAAAAAAAAAAAAAATGAAAAGCAAAATTATTCTTGGTAAGCTATTATAAATAACTCTAAAGTAGCTTATTTTCCACCTAATTCAAAATGCCTCTCTGCTGGGGCTGCAAACAATTTCTTCCTTTCTCTTCGGTAGATTCTAAGAGTTGTATCATTATTTTAGAAGTATGCCTGTCCTTCCTATACTTTTGGGATTTTAACTCAGGTGTTTTTCACTCTAATCCCAACTTTAAGTCCTTTAATCATTTCCTCAGTTTGCTTTTAACACACTAATAATAATAATCTTCACGGCTCATCTTATGACTAAAACTAAACATCTCCATGTCTCTTACTAGAACAGGTAGAAAGCACCCCATTCTTTTTTAAGTTTATTTGAGAGAGGGGGAGGAGAGAAAGAGCACTCACATGCAAGTGAGTCGGGAGGAGCAGGGAGAGAGAGCTCGAGAGAATCTTAAGCAGTGCAAAGCCTGATCCCACAAACCCTGAGATCATGACCTGAGCCTGAAATCAAGAGTCAGACGTTTAACGGACTGAGCCACCCAGGTGCCCTGAACATACTCCATTCTTACTGAAGTACTGCTATACTGGAAAAGGACAGGTAGCCTGGTGCTCTTAAGTTGTTGATTATTCTTCCCCTTCCCACCAGACAGCAAACACCTGCCTTTCTATTCTCCTTCTTTTATTTTCTTTCATTTCCCTATCATACACCTCAGACTTCCCAACTGTATAAAACACCTTACCAGGTGCAATACTTACTGCTTATCATGATTAACTCTTCAAAAGATATTGTATTATGGGGTGCCTGGGTGGCGCAGTCGGTTAAGCGTCCGACTTCAGCCAGGTCACGATCTCGCGGTCCGTGAGTTCGAGCCCCGCGTCAGGATGTGGGCTGATGGCTCGGAGCCTGGAGCCTGCTTCCGATTCTGTGTCTCCCTCTCTCTCTCTGCCCCTCCCCCGTTCATGCTCTGTCTCTCTCTGTCCCAAAAATAAATAAACGTTGAAAAAAAAAATATTGTATTATCAAAAAGACTCTGTCCAATGTATTCCTCTCTAGAAGAGACTGTAAGTATCTACTATGCCACAGAAAGTCTTTGTATTTTGAAACATACCAAAAGCCTTTTGACAAAAACATGTAAATATATTAAGTGGTAAAGAGGAGTATAACTGTAGAATTCTTTTGAGAAGCACTTATTCCAATAAATGAGCTGCGTAGTGATTTTCAGCCTCCAATTGCATACAGCGGTTTTCAAAGCCCAAGGCACATATTTCGATATTCAGACCAGGAAAGCCCCCAAAGCTACCTGGTTTCTTAGCTGCTTAATAGCAGTTCTGTAGCCTGGAGATAAAAACCAATGCCCAGCAACCACACCTTAAAAGTGCCCTGGGCAAATAAAAATGTAGAAAAACTTAATAAAATTGATTTCAGTCAAATTAACTGAGTTAACTATTACTGTTACTCTCCTAATGTTGCCAACTGTTACAAATGCTAGATTCAAGATTTTACTGCTTCACCTCCTATAAGCTGTTGTCTTACTCCTGTGGCTTTCAAATTTTTTAATACAACTTCGGAAAATTTACTGGTCAGTATGGACCCTCTGCCCCACAAAAATACAGTTTTTAAGGCTTCTTGGATTTAAATCCCATTCCTAGACTCTTGAGTTAAGAGACTCCTGATTTCATTCTCCATCACAATCTTACAGGGTAGACATTATTGTAACTGAACTCCATTTTCTCAGAGGGACCGCATGATTTCCTTAGGCCTTGCAACTATTAGATGGTTAAAAGTTGGTCTGACTCAACCGGGAGCCTGAGTGGCTCAGTCGGTTAAGCGTCCAACTTCAGCTCAGGTCATGATCTTGTGGTTCGTGAGTTTGAGCCCTGTGTTGGGTTCTGTGCTGACAGCTCCGAGCCTGGAGCCTGCTTCTGATTCCGTGTCTCCCTCTCTCTCTGCCCCTCCCCTGCTCACACTCTGTCTCTGTTTCTCAAAAATGAATAAACAACAAAAAAAAAAAAAAATTTTTTTTTTAGGTTGGTCTGACTCAAAACCTGGCATTCTTTTTACACCACTACATTCTTCTTTGAACTTGAACTGGGTTTTCTAGTATATATTTCCTCATTTTGTCATTTCACGTTCAAGACAAAACTGTCCAATTTTTAGCTTCTTGTGGGTTTATGCAGAGGAGGTATTAGAGATCACTAGTGTTAGGTCCCTGCCTGACTACCAAGAGAGCTTTTGGTCTAAGATCTGGCAGGAAAAGGCAGACTGCATTAGTTCACATATTGCAAACTTCAAATTAACAACACAAGGAATAACCCCAAGTTCTCTAGCATAAAGAGAACTCCATGCTGTCAAGAACATGCCTGTGACCATTTTCCACAGTAATGTTCTACAATTCTTGCACAAAGTGACAAGGCTACTCTTTGTTTAGTAAATGGTATAAATTAAACAAACACTTGATAAATGCACATAACCAGAATGGAAGTCACCATTTTGTAACAACTAAAAAGCTCTTTAGAAAAACTTAGCTCCTTTTTATGAGAAAAGATCTTAGCCAGTATCATATAGGTGCTTGACAGAACAATGAAGTCTGGTTCACCACTGATGCAACCGCAACAAAAACATTAAATTCTGAAAAGGGATTACCTGCTTATTTTTCTCAAATGAAAAAAAAAAACAAAAACAAAAACAAAATCAAAGTTCAGAAAAAGCTAGAATAAAAATTATGATTACTTTTTACCATGTGAGACCTTAAAATATAATTAAAACAACCTTTCACTAATCATCAAGTACATCAAAAATTTTTTTCTCTACGAGAAATGGCAGTTCTTCCGTATTTTATTCTTCCATTTTATTTGAAGGGGAAAAAGGAATTTTATGTAAGCTATTTCCAGAGCCAACATGACCTGTTTGAAAAAAGATGATAGGCCTACTTGTAAAGAACCACAGTATCTGTAAATACTGAATTTTCCCAAGATGAAACAGAAAAGGCCTTGGAAAATTAGCAGTGCTGCTGACCTAGTTCTACTACCCTCTTTTCCAAAAGAAGGCTTTTTGTTCATTTACTTAGCAAATACTTGAGTACATACTATATGTTAGGAAGCATGAACCACGCAAAGACCACTAACAGAGCAGAGCTGAAAGATCTACTTTTAGATCACCAAAAGACCAAGGCTGGAAGCAAAACTTTGTTTAGCTTTTGTATAGTGAAGGAATAAAACTTTGATTTATCTATATGCTCAAGGTGGAAATTTCACTCAGGCTTGGTGAGAGGCCAGTACTATTCTGAAGGATAACATGGGTAGTCACCAATACCAAACCCCATTAATAATCGACAAACAGAAGGTATTTACAGATTAATCTAGTTATTCTCATCCACTGATCCTTTGCAGTATTTTTTTTTCTTGGTAAGGAAACAAAAGGAAAACAAAATTAAAACTGCTAGTCTTTTCCTAGGAAAATCCTCACAATGACAGGAGCTTTTAGACCTTGTATGGGGAAAACATGCAAATACCTACCTGAAATAGCAAAGAAGCTTGTTAGTAAAAAGTAAAATGTTACTACATCCTCTTTTACTCCTAAGATTCCTAAGCCAACAAACTCTCTGAAACCAAAATAAAAATTATCTAATCTATCAGGTATAATAATTGGGGGGAAACCACCAGAGCTACAAAATTCAGTATCATGTATGCAGGTACTAGTCAGTAAAGAGAGTAAGGGGGGAAAACACCCAACACATTTTTTATTACAGAAAAACATATTTTTGTATTTTAAATATTCTTATTACCTTAGCAAACCACAAGATAAACATGTTATTTAGCCTTAATAAAAACATGGAATTCCTTTCCCATCTTAAAAATAAATGACACCTACCAATGTGAAGATTTTAAATAAAAAACAAAAAAGCACCGAAGAAAGATAATACATGAGAAGATTTTGTGAGCCCATGTTAACTAAGATAAAAAATACTGTTCTTTAAGACAGCACTGGGGCACCTGTGTGGCTCAGTCGGTCAAGCATCCGACTTTGGCTCAGGTCATGATCTTGCAGTTTGTGGGTTCGAGCCCCGCATGGGGCTCTGTGCTGACAGCTCAGAGCCTAAAGCCTATTTCGGATTCTGTGTCTCCTCTCTGGGCCCGCCACCCCTCCTCCATCCTCATGCTCTTTTTCTCTCAATAATAAATGTTTAAAAAAAAAAATTAAAAAAAAAAAATAAAAGACAGCATGAAGAAAGTACCATTTCAGGAAAATATTCGTAATTTAGGATGTAAAGCTATTCTACTAGTAATTAAAGACTTGTGTGTAAAGGAATATTGCTATGTTCTATTCTTTTAAGCTTCTTAGAGAAGCAGTGCTTCAAAACAATAGGTACTGAATTCTAAAACGACTTCTTGACTGAACCTGAAAAAATCAGGTTTGAGTTATTCATGATTTTTTACTCTAGTTGTCAAAGTTGACCACTAACACTTAAATGCAAGAAGAGGCAAAAAGCAACTCTGAAGCCATAATTTTTGGCATAGCTAATTCATTACATTATACTGGCTAAACCAAGGAAGGGTATTAAGTCTGTAATGAGTCTTCTATTACATCTCTCATACATAAAACGATATGCAAAATTCCTGTATCCACAGATGTACATTTAAGAAAATGAGTTCTAGAACTACTACAAACACCCTGACCACAACAGAAATACTTTTATCTTTTCAATTAGTATAAAATATACTACCAGTCTTTTTTAGTCTACCTGAAGTGACTGATACTCAGTATTCCATTTAATTTACACAAGCTTAACTACAACTGTTTTAATAACCTTTTAGTAATGACACCCTGAAGACTTCCAAATTGAGAACGCTCAATTTTATAAAGGAAAAGAAAAACCAAAGAAAGAAAAAGTTGAGACCAACACCTGATATTCATTATAGGAATCCTATATCATAGTGAAGCTAGACTGAATGTTTGATTCTCACCAGTACATCATTGCAGATATCTCTGAGCTCGGTCTCAATTTTCTCTCTGTATTCTCGAGCCATCTGCTGTTTTTTCTCAGCACCTTCCGTCTTTTGCTCAATACTTGAGACGACCCTCCAAGATGACCTACGGGCTCCTACAACATTTTTATAAGCAACTGAGAGAAGATTCCTCTCCTCATTGGATAATTCAGCTCCTTGCTCAGTTACAGACTTCATGCAGGCTGCCATGTCATCATATCGCTCAGCCTGCTCGGCCAGCTTGGCCTTCTGCACCAGCTCATTTTTATCCATGACTGGATGTTCTGCAGGGAAAAAAAGTAACATTCAGATATTTTTTCCATGAAAATAAAGACTAAGTATTATACCTTTTGTAAATGTTAGATTAACACCTCAAACCTAATTGCCTGTGGAAGAGTCTTCACATGAGGAATTTAACGCAGCCCTACAAAAGGATGACAATAGGAAGAAGAAAAAAAAAAAAAAAAGGGAAGGAGAAGGGAGAATGCCCTCAGCCTTCAGGGGGCAAATTTAAAGCCATTAACATAAATGTAGCAAAACTAAAATTGCATTACATCATCTTTGCTCAGAAGATTCTAATTTCACATAAAGTCAAAGCACATTTGATCAAAAGGCTACCTTAAAATCCATCCCTTACCTTACTTGGCCAAAATCTCAATTCCAATTTCCAATATCCTAAGTAATCCAAAAGTCAGCAGTTTTTCTTTAGTGAAAGCAGTGCCAATGAAGAACTTACAACCTCTACCATTTTTCCAGAACCATGATTCAAGTCAGCTTAATGTAATTCGTGTCTGTTCATTTTAATAATACCTACTGTTATAGTCAGAAGCATTTAAGTTTACATTTTATTGGTATTACTCCCACCCCAAACCCAGTGATCTCTGCAACACTTGACAGCTGATCTTGGCATGATAGTTTTCTGGAAGAACGGGCCAAACTGCTTGATTTAAGGCATTCTGAATACAAACAACCGCGCCTTTGCCATCTAACAGACCCTGACACCTCATCTACCTGCACCTTGTTATACACATACATGCTTTAAAAACACATCGATGAGTCCTGACTCTTACCTTCATGTGAGCACTAAGATGTATTTATTAAGTGCTTCTAGTGTGATTGGTGTTTCTTATGTCACTGCTCTAGTTTAAATGCAGAGTTATTGCATTATTTCCAGTCGTCAAAATTTAACTGGTTATATGATCACTCAAGCTGCCCTTACCATAACTTCCCACCTAATTCTCTCTCATCTTCAAGTTCCCTAGACCTTTTTTAACTTACCCGTTATACTTTTCCTTAAAGATATCCTTTTGAAGGGTGCTAAAACAGCACAGAAAGATGCTAAACCATACCCTGATCCCACAGCAAGTGGTAAATATAGAGCCTGAAGTGCACTATTAAAAGGTGAACAGAAGAGCCACTGTCACTAGAAGAATTGACACCCGGTATCAGATCCTTCACCTTCTCAGGAAAATCCCACAATACTTCTCTTTTAAAGCCAAATCGGAACAAGGTGAACAAGTAACCACCTAGCTTGGGTGCAAGGGATACCGTGTCAAAGCGAAACTATTTAAAATTTATGATTACATACCCCCCCCACCCCTCAAAATTACTAATTTTCCCCCTAGGATCTCAAGAACGCTCTTAGGTTAATGCTGCTTCTAACGAAAAATTATCAAAAACCAGTACAAAGGTTTCTCTCCCCAACCCCTCTGGTACAAGGGGAAGTGGATCGGGCTTCTCACACAGTAACTAGTACTCCAAGGCCTCGCCTCCGTACTGCGGAGAAGACTAGCCGCACCCATTTAACCCTTAACCGACGTAAGACGTCGAGTGAGGTGAAACGAACACTGGCAGACCTTGACTTTAAAGTGCAAATCCTTCCGTCCGCGCTATCCGCAACCACCCCTCCTTGGCTCCGCCCAAGTCCCCGATTCTCCCTCTTTGTCATGGCGGATCTGTGTCAAGGAGCCCAACCTACCGCCGAGTGTTAATTCCCCCCACCAGAGCAAGAGGGAGGAGCAGCGCGCCCCCGCCCGAGCCGGGGAAGGGGGGGGGAGAGCAGCCCGCCCGCCCCGGGGGCAGAGACGCCAGCGCCGCCCGCAGAAGCGGAACCACGACCGGCCGGGCGGCGGACACACCCCACTCTCCCACCCGCGTCTCCTCCGCCACCGGACACCGCTGGTGCTCATTTAGTCTATAAGGACCCGACAGCTGCAGCAGGTGGGGGAGGGGGCGAGAGCCACACCCAGGCGAGCGGGGCCACAGCCGGCTGTTACGCTCAGCCTCACCCGCCCCAAGAGGAGGTCACCATCTAAAAAGCGAGCACAGGGACCCTCGGTTCAAGCCCACCAGACAGACGAGCGAGACGCCGGCCCACCGTCTTCCCCATTCTCTTCTCTATCCCCCGCCCTGGGCGCACAGCCCCCATGCACCCGAAGGAAAAACAAAAAAACAAACAAATTAGCAGCAACCCCATCCCCCACCTACCATGGAACCAAATTCCCCATTTGGAGTCCCAGGCCAGCCCCACCCCGAAGCCGGCTCCCGCCCGTGCCAGAAGGGAGGCCTCGCCCTCGTGTACCTGGCGGGCGCCTCTCCAGCCAACCTCGGCTCATGACCCGGTCTGAGCCCCGGCCACTGCCGCCACACGCGCCGCCCGGATGGGGAGGCTGTTCAAATCACTACAACGCAGGGCGCGGAGGCTGCACGCCAGGCAGGCAGGAGAGGCAGGGGAGGGGAGGGGCGGCCCGAGGAGGGGGGCGGCCTCACCTACGCCCTGCAATGCCCGCAGCCGCCAGGAGTCTATCTCAGGCAGGCAGGAAGGAAGCTGAACGGCGCTTTTGACGACAGAAAAGGGCACTTTACCCCCAGGGGGAGAAGGGGCAGCAAGGGTGGGAATTGGTTCCCAGCAGGCCTGGAGTCACCCCGGGAGCCAGAGCCGGGCAGGTCAGTCTAGCGTGTGGGCGCCCATTCCACCCGGGGGACGGGGACCGGGAACCGGAGCTTATCGGGGCCAAGGCGTCGATCCGGAAGCAAGCAGCCCGAGGCGGCCGCAGGCCGCCGCGAACCGCGGAAAAGCACCGCCGTCTCCGCCTGAGGAGACTCCGCCTCAGCCCAGCGCCGCTACCGCCGGGCGAGCGGGGCTGAGGGGGCGTGAGCAAGGGACGGCCAGCACGAGCTGGTCTGGGAAAGGAAGGAGTAGGACGAGGCGGCGGCGGCCGGGTCTCTTACCTGTGCCCGGAGTGGGTGGCGGCGGACGGACGGACGGGGGCTCAGCAGTCTCTGGGCGGCAGCGGCGAGGCTGAGACTCTGTCCCTGGATCTCGCTGCTCACAGGCTACAGCCGCTCCGCCGCAGACACGGGGTTTCCTCCAATCACCAGCCCCGGCAGCAGGGGCACCACACGCACGATGACGTCAAACGCTGCTATGGCAACCGTTGATTGGTGCCCACAGCTCTGGGGGCCCAGTGCAACCGCCGCTCCCTAGCGCGCGCGTCCTGCCCGCCCGCGCTAGAGGGCGAGCGGCGGAGCGCACCACCTCTCCCGCTACCAACACTCCTCCCCAGCCCGCTCAGCTCCCAACTTCTCTGCTCTTGGGAGAGTGAGCCTGGGCAGGAAGCTCCTTCCTTTTTCTTTTCCCCCTCCCCCCACCACTACCTTCCTACCTCGCCTTCCCCTCGGATCCCCTGCAATCTTCCCAGGCTCACTCTTCCTCAAAACCAGCAAGAAGGAAATTCCTCCCCACCCCCACCTTGGTTTTCCGTGCGGCCTTTCTGCGCCTGCGCCAGTCACTCCCTCTAGAAGGGGCTCCGGTTCAGCAACATCCGGGACCTTTCACATTCCCCCCCCCCCCCCCCCCCCCCCCCCCCCCGCCATCCCCTTCCAGGCTCCCTGGTCCGCCCCGCCCTCCGTGCCCCGCGATGGTTAACTGCCTCCTGGGCCGGCCGGGGGCTGGATTACGCGAGTGGCTCCGCCGCTCTGGCATTGTGATCAGGCCTTGGGGGTGGCGGGGGAGGGCGCGGTCAGACGGTCGGGGAGGGGCGGTGTGGCGCCCTACCCCCTCAGCCCGCCGCACCCCGTCGCCAGGCGGGGCCAACCTGAGCGCACAGCCCCTCCCTTCCTCCCTTCCGCCGCCGGGGCTCTACCTGCTGGCTCGCGGGAAGCGGCCTTAGACCTTTTAAGGCTCGGAATAGGGAGTGAGACGTCCGGCCCCGGAGTGCGGGCTGAGTGACGGGAAGGTTTTCCAATCGGGGCCTCGGGATGTGCGCGCTGTGACAGCTGCGAGGGGACAATGGGGGCGCCAAGCGGGGGTGAGGTGGGTCGGGCGGGGCGGAGCTGGCGGGAGGTGAGGCCTGGAAGGAGAGGCCGCCGCTTTCAGAAAGCCTACAACTCCCGTGAGGAGACGGCAGCCCGAGGGTTCGGGTGATCCTGGAAACCGTAACACGAAGAGAGGCAAAGAGCGGAGGTTGGACCGTACTGACTCGTTTCTCGTAGATCAGATTTTTCCATCCAAATCATGCGTCCAATTGAAGACTTGATGTTGCAGTGATTTAAAACCTAAAGATCATTCATTACCTGTTTTCTCCTGAAGCAAGGTTTGCGGGACGTGGTAGTTCCCAGGGACCCCGCTGACCCAGCGGGCAGTGGAAGGGGGCCGCAGGCAGGGCCAGGAGCGAGGACCTGGAGCCAGGAAGAGGGTAAAGTGAGGAGCGGAAATTGCAGGTGCCGCACCAACGGGCGGACCTAAAACGGTAGAGCCTCCGCCCAGTCAACTTAAGGAAGTTCAAAGAGATACATCGATGGTGTAAAATGCCTCTGCCTCTTACTCCCTTTAAACGTGTTAGAGCTAAGAAAAGATTAGCGCTTGGATGAGCTGCAAAACCAGTTGCAAAAGTCCTCTAAGTTTATAGTTGCAGTGAGAACTCAGAAATCTTCCTACTACCTTTTGCACACTCCATCTTGGCCTTACAGATTTTTCCAACCTATCCTTTTTTTTTTTCCTCCTCATAAATGTACTCTTTAACCCCC